TGATGATTCACAGCCCATCAAATCACGAAAATGGCAGCACAGTCTGCGTCACTGAACATATCAAATGTTCTCTGATCAGAATTACTTCATTAAAAAGACGACAAACAGGCCCGACTGCTCTAAAAGGGACATGATCGGTATGTTTCTGATTTGAGATGAGGAGATGTGTCCTAAAGCAAGACACCTGATCCTAGAAGTTAATCTGGGTGAGAGCGTCAGACGAAAACATTCACATCTGACCCACATGATCACTGAAGTCAGTTATTGTCACACACACACACACAGCTGGCTCTGACGCAAAACATAAAATACACTTAAAAAATACCTTTAGTGTCTTTAAATCTCTCCGATGATTAAAACAACAGAAGCATCAGTTGGGGTCTGATATGAAAAAGACGTTTTTCGATGTAAAAAGTAATTTTAAAAAAAGCTACCAAAATAAAACAAGAGCAGACAGGCCTGAGTGAAGCGCCCTCGCCGTCTCTACACGATTGGCGGAGACGAACGCAGCTGAGGATTCACAAAGTGGGCGAAAAGAAGGGGTATAATATTGGGTGGTAAATAAAAAACCGTCCACAGTCGAAGGTGTATCCAGAATAGTTCTGCTAAATAAAAAACGGTCTGATAATGTAAATATATTTCCAAATGTAGCTCGCACTGAGTCACTTCATGTTAAAGAGGAATTCCACTGATTTTTTACACATTAAACTCAGTTTCCAGTCGTCGGAGAGAACTACTGTACACGTGGAGAAGTAAAACGCCTTTTTGTGGCGCCAAAGGCTGCGTGGACATCTGTCCTCAAGTGATGTCACTTGAGTCAGCGTCGGTTCAGTCAGAGGACTACAAAAACACAAAAGCAAATCTGTTGGTGTGAAGTTAAAAAGAAGCAGCCGGCTGGAAGCTCCAGGTCACATTAGCCGCTGCTAACATTACGCACCCGAATCTCAGAGCGATCTGTAGGCGGGTGAGTTGCATTATGGGTAATGTAGGCGCAATGTTTTGAGAAGGAAGAAGAATCTCTATTTCTGCTGCATCGATTTTGATTCTGATTTAAAAAAACACTGACCATCGTGAGTCCGGAAACGTTATCGGAGCTCAACCGCTGGAGAAGTCTTAACGCAGCAGATGTGTCAGTCCGGGCTCAAACGAGACAGATGGTCGGTCGGGTCATCTCAAGGTTAATTAGCTGCAAGCTGCCGTCGTTCACACAAAATGAATCAGAGCAATCATTAAAAGAAGAAATTATTTTCCAGCCAACAGAAATTAGCCACATCTGTTCTGTTCCTGAGACAGACGAGTGGACTGACGGTGAAAGCCTTTTATAAACCGATATCAGTTCGGACTCGGGGTCGTGAGTTCTTTCTGGCCTTCATCTCACACTGCCAGCTTCTTTAAAGGGAAAGTGATTCCTCCCCCAGTCTTCAGTGATCTTCTGCGATAATATTTCTACATTTGAACTAAATCCGATCATGTTCAGTTCTTTGTCGCGAACATGTTGAAGCTCTGAACCAGTGACTGACTTTAATCTCCTACCTGAACACCAAACAGAGTGAGACAAAAGAAACAGCCCAGAGAGCTGAGAAGAGGCCGATCCACGGCGGCGAAGCACAGTCCCTCCTCTTCCTCCTCGTGATGGTTTAAGTCTTACATTTTGTGTAAATTTCGATGTGTGATGGTCACTCCAGTGATGAGTAGTGTGATGCTCTTCGTCCATCTCATCTTTCCATCCTCCTCAGTTTGTTCTCAGCAGCTTCAGCCTGTTGATACAAACACAGGGAGGAAGTGGTGGTGCATCCTGTGTGTGTGTGTGTGATCCCTGTAACATAAGTGTGCACATTTCTACAGCGAGCAGCCCCCCCGAGGGAGAAACCTTACTGCGACTACCGGCACATTCAGCTCCTCCTGCTGACAACTGATCACATGCAGAGCGACTAATCAATCTAATCAATCAATACTGAATCACACAGCTGTATCAGATGTAGACTCAAACACTGTCCTGATCTTTACGTCACAGCCAGTATATTGATCCTCGTGGTTCAACATGTTCCCGGTGAACATTAAAGATCCAGTGTAACATTTAGGACTTTCAGCGAGAGCGAAGTTCAGAGAAGAACGGAAAATATTACAGGAGGAGCGAGAGGAGACGCAACAAATGTTCCTTCTCAAACGCAGTTAACCCTTATTCCCACCAGGGCGCTCTGTCGATTCGATTAATTGATTGATCTTTTTCGGACACTGATCAATTATTTCTTTGACTCATCTTCTTAGGAGAAGCCACATTGTTTCGTGTCGTTCATTCCACTAAAGACGTTTTGGTTTGCGTCCCACAGTTTTAGTTTTAGTGGTCATCTTTTAGCCGTTTAATGGCAGATCGTAACGAGAATCGAAACTACAGTTGCCTGTGAAACGTCAGTCACAGTTTTGTGTTTTTTTTTCCTTTCATGGACTACTGTTAGAAACAGCAGGCCTCCATGGAAGGAGTCAATATATAAAACGTCTTCCTCCTAAAGTAACAAAAACAAAAACAATTCCTGTATTCAGGTGATTAAACAGTAAAAACACACCTACAAATATTACACAGATCCTCC